CATTGCACGACTCGCTCCTCATCACCATCCCCTTCAGCTCTTCATGATCCTTCCCTTTAATCCTTGCTCAAGGTCGTACCATCCCCTTCCGAGCCCATTGACTTCACTCTTCCTCCTCTTTCCAACACCTACACCAATGCTGCCCTTCATCATCATTACGAACCTCAACCATTCATGAGGCTCGTACCGGTCCTGATGCTGCTGAATGGATCAAGGCTACTGATGCGGAACTTGCTGCCCTGCACGCTAATGACACCTATAGCATTGTTCCTTGACCACCCAAGTGCAAGCCGATTCCATGCAAATGGATTTTCAAGGTCAAGGATAATGCTGATGGTTCTATTGAACGCCGCAAAGCCCGCCTTGTTGTCAAACGCTTCAAGCAACGTGATGGTGTTGATTTTCATGACACCTTTGCCCCTGCAGTCCGCTTCGCCACTCTCCGCTTGTTTCTCACCATAGCTGCCGCTTTCAACCTGGACGTCCATCAGCTGGACATCTCCAACGCCTTCCTCAACGGCACCCTTGATGAGATTCTCTACATGATGCAGCCTCCCGGTTATTAACTTCCGGCGGTCCGTGGTGTTGAGCAAGTCTGTCTTTTGCACAAACCGCTGTACGGGTTGAAGCAAGCACCGTGATGCTGATACCGCAAGCTTCGTGAGGAGCTTGCTGCCTTTCACCTCTTTGCTGCTCGTGCGGACCCCGGCCTCTTCATTGCTCCTCCTCACTCACCCTATCGGCCTACGGCTGCATCCTTCTTCATGCTTCTCGTCTATGTTGAGGACCTCATCATTCTCTCCTCCTCCTCCTCCTCCTTCTCCTCCTCTCTTCTTGCCTCATTCAAGCATGCCCTTTCATCTCGCTTCAAACTTCGTGGCCTCGGACCTCTTTCCTACTACCTTGGCTTTCACATCACTCGTGATCGAACTTTCCGCACTCTCCACCTTCATCAATCCAAATTCATCACCTCCATTCTAGACACCTACTCATTCTCTCCACTAAACCCCGCTGCCACTCCCATGGACACAAAGTTTCAGCCACCTGTGACTTCCTCCCCGCACTCCTCCTCCTTCCCTTACACCTCGTTTGTCGGATCCATCATGTATGCCATGGTGGGGACCCGTCCCGACCTCGCATACAGCGCTGGAGTTCTTGCTCGTCACCTTCATGATTGGTCTACTCCTCACGTCTCGGCTGCCAAACGCATTGCTCGCTACTTGAAAGGGACTCCCTCCCTTGGGCTTCTCCTTGGTGGCATTCCCGACACCCTCGAACTTCATGGCTGGTGTGACGCCTCTTGGGGACCGGAGGGGGAGCTGCGTCGCTCCGTTATGTGCTACTTGTTCTTCCTCGGTCCGTCACTCATCTCTTGGCAGTCCAAACGCCAAGCTGTCGTTGCTACCTCTTACTGTGAAGCTGAATATTACTCTTTGGGCGCCGCGGTGCACGAGGCATTATGGCTTCGTTCCCTCCTTACTTGTATCTCGTGTGACAACAGTGCCATCATTCTCGCCAAGGACGATGGCGTCTTTCATCCCAAGGCCAAGCACATCGACATCAAGCACCATTTCATTCGCGATCGTGTTGCCGACCACTCCGTCACCCTTCACTATGTTCCTACTCAAGACAACCTCGCTGACATTGGCACCAAGCCTTTGCCCCGTGACCCTTTTCTTCGCATTCGTGGTCTTCTCGGTCTCACCCATGTTTCCTCTTGAAGAACCCTATCCCGGGGACATCCTTGAGGGGGGGTGTTGTGCAAGCAAGAATGTCCCAGTGGTTAGATTATCACCTTTGGTCTTCGAGGTCGTGGGCTCAACTCTTAGGAGCTGCATTCTCTCTTCTCATTATGCCCAACATGACATTCCCACACTCCACCACACTCACCCACAGTGAAGTGTGGTCACAGCTGGCTTTGCCATCTGTCCACTCATCCCATACTCACCTTGCTGGCCCCTATGGTGTGCCACATGCTGCCATGTAGGCTGTTGTTCTAGCCTAGACCACATGTGCAACATGTGGCCTCAGTTGCTAGCTTGGCAAGGTTGGCTAGCCTTGCCTTCTGCTTTGAGGTGCTGCAGCTAGCCTCAAGAGTTCAGCCACATATATGTGGCTTCCCACTTCTCTAGAAATTATCCTTGGCAAAGGACATTGCTCTAGCCTCTCGGGCTTGTACCATCTTCCTACTAAGGATATATTGTTCTTCTCTCATTGTGCCTTAAGTTCACCGATCCTCATTCTACAGAATTCACACTCGACATCGGGGCCACTCACATAGTGCTAGAGATGAGCAACCGGCCCGGCCCGGCCCGACCCGACCACGGGTCACGGGTCACGGTCACGGGTCGGGTCGGGTCGGGCCAGTCTGACCCGCCCCTTTAGAGGGAGCAGGGGTGTTTTTTATCTGTAGTGGATTTTCAGTATGTCAAAATCGGGTCGGGCCTAAAGCCCGACCCAATTTCCCTGGTCCTTACCCGAAGTTGGGTCGGGTCAAGCCTGACCTGAAACCCGACCCGACTCGGCCCAAGTTTCCTGCTCGGGTCGGGTTTTAGCCCGGGTCGGGTCGGGTCGGCCCGCACGGGGCAAGCAAATGAAACCACTGACCCGACACGGGCTAAACCACGGGTCGGGTCGGGCCGGGCAAATGCTAATCTCTACACAGTGCTCAAGGAGACACCCTCCTTCAAACCCTACTCCACACCTATTCCTCTCTTGGAAGCTGAATTCAAGCTTCACCACTTTTGCCAAGGGTTCGTCCACTGTCCCATCCCATGCTCCACCTTCCCATCCGGCACTGTGACTGGCATGTGCGTGCCTTCACTTTGACACAATCTATTGGCTGAAAAATGACTTCAGGAAACAGGGGTGCGCACCATAATTTCGGAATAGAAGTACTATTGTGACATCATCAACCCACTCACCAACAAGGTCTTAGCTCGCTTCACCCTCAACAGTAGCGATCTCTACACGTTGCGTATATCCATCCCACATGTGTCTACTACCCAGGCACAGGCTACTATTACACCATGCTCATGCCGCAGTTTCGCCAATCCGACCATCCTCTACCACCATCGACTCGGGCACCCAAACTTCCGCACGCTTGCTGACATGGCCTCCAAGAAGCTTCTTCTTGGCCTACAAGCCTCACTTCCTCCACCACCTGACTCCCCCGCTCTGACATGCCTTGACCAAGGTGTGGTTGCGAGATAAATGGAGGCCCAATCATCTTGGCTCACATATGACCAAGACTATTGGACCCTTCGGTCCAAACTTTGCGAGTTGGGGCCAATAATGTTGGCCAAGGTCCGAACCAGCCCCCCATTGGCTCTCTCAACATTGTATACCTCCCTCATTCTTAATCTAATCATCCGTTCGTTGTTACACTCCCGATTTTTCACAATTACGAGTGTCACTTACGGGGATAAGAGGCTGGCTGGCTCACCACAAGCTTTTCTGACTCGTCACAAGCCACGAGCCAGACATATTTTCTTTTTCAACAACAGCAGCCACAGAATCCGTAGCACAGCAGCCCTTCCACTCTCATATGCCTTCCAATCTTGTGCACCTTGTTAGAATTTATGTATTATAGCATGCGAACACTTGTAACTGTACACCAAGAGTGGTGTACAGTTGGGTTGGTTCAGGTTCTAGTTCTGGGTGTATTGCGGGTAGACACTCTAATTGGGGTGAACCCAAATATCCTAGCTTAGACTTGACTCCAACCTTGTTGGCCAAGTGGGGCAACCAACTTTGGTTGGTTGGCCACCACCCCACTAGGGCTGGTTGGATGGTCCTCCCTCCCACTAGCCTACTTGGTCTTGGTGTCTTATGTGCTAGGTTTGGGTTCCTCTCCAACTTTCTCTTCCTTGTATAACCTTGTGCTCTCTTGAGTTAATCTTAATGATTCTACTTCATAGTTTCTTTCATGGTATCAGAGCCTAAGGCAAATGCCACTAGATCCTAGGCCTGATAACAAATTTCCTTCTACCTTTTTTTTAACACTACAGCACCTAAGCGAAATCGTCGCGCGGCCTCTCATACCAAGTCGATACCTTGTTCTTAACAAACTCACGGGCCCCTCTGCCTGTGGCATAACCTCTGCTAGCATCCGCGAGAGCCCCTCTGCTCATCGCGTAACCTCCGCTAGCGGCCGCGCGGGCCCCTGTGCTCGTCGCGTCACCTCTGTTAGCAGCCGCGCGGGTCCCGTTTCTCACCGCGTCACCACTGTCAGCAGTAGTGCGGACCTTTCTACCGTTGCGATTTCACTGCCAGCAGTAGCGCGGACCTTTCAACCGTCGCAATTTCACTGCCAGCAGTAGCGCGGACCTTTTAACCGTCGCAATTTCACTGCCAGCAGACGCGCGGACCTTTCTACCGTCCCAATTCCACTACCAGCAGTCGCGCGGACCCTTCTACCGTCGCGTTTTCCTTGCCAGCAGTCGCGCGGACCTCTCCTAAGGTCGCGTTACCTCTACCGACAGTCCCGCGGACCCCTTTGACCGTCGCGTCACCCTTTCTAGCGACCGCGCGAACTCCTTTGCCCGTCGCGCTACCTCTGCCAGCACCACGGAGCAGCTGCGCGTCCCTCCCCACATTGCGCGGCGGCGGAACTGAATAGCAGCAGCAACGGCGGAGCTGAACAGCAGCAGCAGCGGCTGAGCTGAAAAGCAGCAGCAGCGGCGGAGCTGAACAGCAGCAGCAGCGGCGGAGTTGAACAGCAGCGGCGGAGCTGAACAGCAGCAGCACCGGCGGAGCTGAACAGCAGCAGCAGCGGCGGAGCCTAACAGCAACAGCAGCGGCGGAGCTGAACAGCAGCAGCAGCGGCGGAGCTGAACAGCAGCAGCAGCGGCGGAGCTAAAAAGCAGCAGCAGCGGAGGAGCTGAACAGCAGCAGCAGCGGCGGAGCTGAACAGCAGCAGCAGCGGCGGAGCTGAACAGCAGCAGCAGCAGCAGCGGAGCTGAGCAGCAGCAGCAGCGGCGGCAGCAGGAGCGACACTCATGGCGACTGACACTGTGCCTATTCACACCGGCTCCATCGTTTGCCTAGAGGTCCAGGACGGCACTACCGCACTGAATTGGCACCGTTTCTTACAGAGTCTCACCGGCGTCCTCGGCTCCACCATTATTGGCGGTGTCAACCTCCACTCCGTTGTCTTTGCCGAACCGGATGGCCTTGAGCCCAAGCCACCTCCCCTCCTTGGTCTTGAACCTCCTCCTCCACTACCCTATCCTGTCGAAGCACCTCGCCCGCCCGATCTCCCTCGCCTCGTTTCTAACACCACCACCAATTCCTCGCGCCTCACCACCTACGCGAAGGAGGTAGCGACACACACACGACTGGTAGATACCCACAAGGCAGCCCTTGCTGCTCACACCACGGCTGCAGCCCTTCATGCGAAGTACACTGTTGATAAGACGTCATACACATCCCAGCTGACTGATTTCCATACTCGCCATGCCGCGTGGTGCATTGCCGACACTCAGGCTATTGGCCTCATCAACTCCTGCATCCCGACCTTGCTGCAGAGCGAGCTTGACGCCACTTCCTCTGCAGTTCTCTGGCGCGCCCTCAATGATTTGTATGACCGTCGGGACATGGCATCTCTTCATGCCCTGTACCATGACTTCAACGCTATCTCCCTTGACAACTGCACCGGCGCAGCTGACTATACCTGTCGCCTCAACAACACGGCTCGGCGTCTTCGGGAGCGTGGGGCCACTATTGACGACCCCCTCCTCATTTGGCGCATCCTCGAGGGACTCACCCCGGCTTATGAGATGCACCGCATTGCCTACGACATTGTTCTCTCTCCCCACGCCACAGCTGCCGAAGTCACCACATGGGTCCTTGATACTGAAGCCAAGCTTACCTGCCAGTCCCCCTCCACCCTCAACTTCACACAGGGACGCGGAGGACGTGGGGGGCGTGGTGGCAAGGGTCGTGGTGGAGGGAGTGCCGGAGGCGGTGGTGGTCGAGGTGGAGGGGCTGGCAGTGGCACTACAGGTGGGACATCGGGAGGTGATGGGGGTGCTGGTCGTGGTGGACGCTCAGGGGGTTTCCCTCCTTGCTCCTATGTCATTCGACAAGGCCCCGACAAGGGCCATCGCTGCAACCAAACCACCCATCCTGCTAAAACCTGCTTCAAGGCGCGCACTGAACCACTGAGCTCCTTGGAGCCGATCGAATAGATCCTCAATTCGGTAACTGTTCTTCACCGTAATCTTGTTCAAGGCACGATAATCTACGCACATGCGTAATCCTCCGCCCTTCTTGTTAACGAACAAAATTGGTGCTCCGTAAGGGGATGCACTGGGTTCAATCCATCCTTTTCTGAGGTATTCCTCGATCTGTTGTTTGGCCTCTTCGTACTCAGCTGGACTGAGGCGATACAGAGGTCGAAAGGGTGGAACCTTTCCCGGTTCAACAGGGATGGTGTGACCCACTGCGCGGCCAGGCGGAAGTCCATCAGGGATGGTTTCAAACACTTCCTTAAATTCCTCTGCTATTATTTGCATCTGAGGAGGGAAATCCTCAATTGCTGGCTCCAAGGCCTAAGCATTCTCAAGCTGTACCACGAACAGTGTATCAGCTGACTTAACAGAATGCCCGAACTGGTTGGCCAACACACACAGCGCGCTGGGATGTTCAGGCGTCTCTGTTTCAGTGGGCAAAGTATCATTGACTTGCCACCGGATTGCCTTTCCGTTCTTGTTGAACGAGACAATGTTGTACTGGAAGTCTAGAATGACTTCGTTGGCTTGCAACCAATTCATGCCCAGGATGAGGTCGACACCTGACAAAAGTGGTAGGACATACACGCGAACTGTTTCGCTATAGTCCTGTACATTCATGTCGATATGTGTCTGTCCTTTACTTGGAATGACACGATCGTCACCCAAGCGGATGGGACATGACAGTCCTACAACAAAGACGTTGTGTTTCGTGACCCAAGTTGCATCAACAAGGGAAACCGACGCGCCTGTATCGACGAGAATCCTTGCTTCGTCCCCATTCATGCGTCCAGATAACAGTAGATTCTGTTGGAATCTTGGACGGATGGGACAAGCGACAACAAGTTTAGGAGGTCGACAGTACACCCTAAATTTGTTGTGAGCACGTCCAAACCTTTGGGAGCTGGTCCACCAGATGTGGTGCCCTTTGTCCCATGTTGCCATGATATGCCATTCGTGAAAGCGGCGGAATAACTCTCCTTTCACGATTCGAGTCACCAATCCCACTGACATGAGCGGGTGCTCTTGGACACAACGTTCCACAATATCCATGATTGCTGGCAACTCGTTGAACGAGCAAGAGATGATTGAAAACTTATCTCTCAAGGATTCAATTGAGATGTTTTCAAGTGGGTACGATCGAGCTTTAAAAACAGATTTTTCATTAATAGAAGAGGCATACAAACAAGCGATTTTGCATGATGCAAGCTTCTCTAGCTTTAGCAAATCCTCATCACAAAGGACATAAGCCTCATCTACTCGATCTCGCTCACCAACTAGGTACCCACCCCCTAGTTGGACTTCGGAAAATCCTTCGGGCCCGAAGGGCCAGATGCATCCGGCTTCTTGCCCTGGTTGGGCTTGCCGGAGTTCTTGACGGACTTCCTCCAACGGCAGTGATAGGACTTGTGGCCGAGCTTGCCACGGATGCGGCAGCCCGCCGGGGGCTTATCCTCATCTTGAGGATCCTTGGCAGGCCCACCATGGGCCCTCTTGGACTGAGTCCCAGAGGATTCCCCCTTCTGCTGATAGGGCCTCTTCCAAGAGCCACCGCCCCTGTGGGCCTGAGTCCTGCTACCACCCCCCCTAGGGCCTTCGGCACTAGGCTGCTGCTGAGCACGAGCGTGAGTCATGTACGCACGGAAATTCACATCCGTGTCAATGACCTGCTCCTTGCACTCCTTGTAGGTCCTCCACTGGTGCTCCCCACACACAACATGCACACGCTTGATGTGCTCAGGGAGTCGCTTGAAGAACTGGTGGATGACCTCGCTCTTAGGAAGAGCAGTCTTCAGCAGCAATAGAGTTTTCTCAAACTCCTTGGCGTACTCGCGTACAGGCTAGTCACCGCACTGGATGTTCTCCAGGCGGCTACGCACCTCGAGCGCCGGGGGCTGACTCATAAATGCCACCAACATGGCAGCTTTGAACTCCTCCCAGCCAAAAGGATGGCCATTAGCCTCTGGGTGGCGCTTGTTGGGATACACCAACTTGCTCGCACTGTCGTCCAGGGCAAGGGTCGCAGCGACCACGCGAGCCTCGCTACGCACATTGTGGATGGACATAAAGTCCTCCGCAATGGAGAGCCAAGTGTCGGAAACAAGAAGTGATCAACTAGAAACATTTGGGAGTACACGTATGAGACCCTAGAGAAGTGTACACCCTAAAGGCTAACCCACTGTAGCCTACAAAACAGAAACATATACAATGTTTGACACACCCCCATAGGCTAAGTGGGGGAGAACAAGAGGTCACAAGACCAGTCAAGAAAGACAAAGCAAGCTCAGGGTGGATCACAACGTCACCACACACTCTGAGCACAAGCAAGAAGCATATATGTAACACAAGCAACACAGTGATCTATACCTAGCAAAGCAAGCATGCAGGTATATATATATATATATATATATAGATCATAGTACAGGCAGAGCCTACAACAAGTGAGGAAAAGTGGGCACAAGCCCTAGCAAAGTGCAGAAACGCTGATGATCACCAGACTGAAGCGCCTTGGTGAATATATCAGCAGTGTTGGCCTGAGTGGCCACGTAACGCAGACGAAGCTAACCACGCTGCTGCAACTCTCGAGCCAAAAAGTAACGTAGAGCGATATGCTTCGTTTTGTGCTCCAGTCTGTGCTCCTCACACAAGGCAATGGCGGCCTTGTTGTCGACGTACAGCACTGGAGGAGAACAAGGCCGCTCTCCCAGGTCGGTCAGCAGGTAGGTGAGCCACCGTTAACTCCTGTGCAGCCATGGCTGTGGCGTAGATCTCAGCCTCACAACTGGAGCTGAGAACTGAAGACGAACGCGTAGAATGCCATGAAACTGAGCTAGAACCAAGGCTGAAGGTGTAACCCTGTGACAACCGCTGAGTAGCCTGGTCGTCAACCCAAGAAGCGTCTGAGTGCCCAGTGAGAACAACCGAGGACCTAGTGGAACCTGCGTTGATCGGTTTACGGCCTGTGCTAGGCTCCCTGCGTATGGCACAACACTCTCCGCACCCGCACGACCCTAGTGGCACTTGGTTTCTTCCCGTCGTATGCTGACCGGTCGCTCTTCATCTCCCGCACCTCAACATGTCTATATCCTAGTCCACGTCGACAATTTGGTCTTTGCCACTCCCCAACAAGAGTGCTCTAGACTCGATGAAAGCCGAACTGTAGACGAGGCACACGTGCACTGACCTTGGTGAGCTGCAATGCTATCTTGGCCTGCAGATCACCATGGACAGAGCTGCTTGCACCACTATGCTGACACAATCGCATAAGTTGCAGTAGATCCTCAAGAAGTTCTGCCTTCAGTTCTCCCCACTTGCTTCGATCCTAAGCTCACGGCTCCACTTTTGGATGAGTCATTTGAGCCCAGTGGTCCATACGCAAAGTCGGTGGGTTGTCTCATGTACATGATGACCTACACTAGCCCAAACCTCGCTTTCCCTCTCAGCGTCATGGCTCACTTTGTTGCAACTGGGAAACACCTACCTTGTGAGGATCTGGTTCAGGAAGGATGATTCTATTGAATGATTCACCTCGGTACAACACGAGGCTATATATAGCCTCGACACAAGGCCAGTTACCCAGGTGTTACGCGAATGTTCTGGATCATCCTGTACAAATAAAGGTGGTGGTGGCGGGAACTGTCATCCCTGGAACTGCTGGTTGGGGTCCTTGTAGGGCTTCAGTAGCTGAACATGGAAGCATTGTGAAGCTTCCAAGTAGTAGGTAAGCGCAAGCGGAATGTTACTGGTGTCCCCTGTGCCTCAACGCGAAAAGGACCACAGAAGCGAGGCCGGAGCTTGGACGGAAGGTGAGATAAGTTCAAGTTGCGTGTGTCGAGAAGCACCTGATCTCCGACTGCTACTGAGTGATCTTGTCTCTGGCGATCGGCATACTGTTTATGGGAGTTCTGCATCGTGGAAAGACGTCGCTGAGTCTTCTCCCATAGCTGCTGCATGGTGGTGACGAAGTCATGTGCGGCTTGGACGTGTGCCGGTGTGGTTGGCTGCTCTGGTGTAAGTGGTTCCCGTCCATAGCACAGGAAGAAAGGAGATTTCCCTGTGGCCGCATGTGACGCGTTGTTGTATCGGTAACTGTGAATCCTAGTGACTGACGTTGTCTTTGCAAGCGGTGTGCAGTAACTTTTCAACCACCTGATTGAGTCGCTCTGTCTGTCCGTCAGTCTGGGGGTGGTATGTTGAAGACATTGCGAGCTTTGTCCCCAACAAACCCATGAGTTCCCTCCAGAACTTACTGGTAAATTGTGGGTCTTTGTCTGAGATGAGTGTAGCGGGGATGCCATGGATGGTGATGAAGCGGTCGAAGAAGAGGCGAGCAGTTGGTTCAGCTGTAGCCGTGGCGTTGGTCAGGATGAAGTGTCTCATTTTAGAGAACTTGTCGATCACCACGAGTATAGCCTCATGCCCTCGTGAGGTTGAAGGTAGCCCACTGATGAAGTCTATGTGAGAATGTTACTATCTAGCCTGTACTGGGGTGCTCTATAGCGAGTACAACCCTGTTAGGGTTTGCTATATGTATCCCAACTGCTGCTAGTGAAACCCCTCCTTTCTTCATTTCTCTCTTGCCTAGCTAGCTAAACCCTAGCTATGGCTCCTTACTCTTACCACGATTCTCACATGCTATCAGAGCATCTACGCTCCTGGCCTGTGGGCCCACCTAGCTGCTTCCGCTGCTACTCTGTCTGTTGCACGCCCCGTGGCGTGCCACTCCTCCTTCCTGCCGGTTTTCTGCCCGCCGTGCGCCCCGAGGCGCGCTGCGGTTTCCTTCCTTGGGGACCCGCGCGCGGCCCTCGCCCTGCTCGTCGCGGCGCCCTGGGGAACACGCGCGGCCCCCCGCCCCTCACGTCGCGGCGCCCTGAGGAGCTGCGCGCGGCCCCTCGTTGCCCTGTGGTGGTGCCCTGGGGGCCGCGCGCCACCCCTGGAGCCGCGCGCGGCCCCTCGCT